GGGAGCCGGCTGGAGGGAGCAGCGCAACGCGGGCACCGCACCCGACTGAGCTGGGCTACCCGTGGCCCCAACTGCTTGTACTTCGGCGAAGAGCACCGGGAGCCTGAGGAGGAAACCAACACAATCCACACGCAATCTAATAAACCATCATCATCATCCCACTGAAATTGTTTACTAGAAGTTATTCACACATTACTAACTGTGCACACGCCTTTTAAGCATCACCTGCTAAGGTTTTGCTTGGTAAAATATCTGCCATGGTTCCACACGTATTTTCTGGTCTTATTTAAAATTAGTCCCCTTTTTAATTACATCCCCTAATTAATTATTTCCAAATTTAACAYGTATATGTCACAAAACTCATCTGCACCTAGTTTCAATACTATACCAGTATTAGTAGTACCCTAATAGTACCCTAACTGCTTCAATAACAGTTTAAATGCAAGTACTTGTAGCACATTATTTTCCAAACAGAACACAATTAACTCAGTTCTCTGCTGCAAAGGGATGCTGCTATTCCCTGATTAAGGACTCAGAACTTTTGTTTACTTTGTGCTTCCTAAAAATAAACGCAGTCACAGAAGTACAGCCATCAAGGTTATCTTACACAAACACTCCATGCATCTTTAGACACTGAAACAGCAAATTTAGATACCAAAATACCAACGACAGAACAGCATTTTGGCCTATTGATCAGCAGAAACGTGTCTTGGATGGTATCAGAGGCTTTAACCAATCAAGTCATTAGAAATCACAGTGTTTTAAATCCTTCTAGTTCCAAGGTAAACCAAAGGCAAAATTTTAATAAGCTACTCCCGAGTTAACATCTTGTATTTCAGGTACTGCCTGGAGCAAATATCCAAGGCTGAATGACAAGTCTGCAGCAATGTGAAGCAGTACAAACTGCAGCACTGTCAGAGTGGTTTGCAGTAAGGGCATGTGATCATTCCAAAGTCTTCTATCATTAAGGAAAATTTAAACTAACTCGCATACCTGAGAATGGAAAATGACTGCAACAACAGACTTAACGACTACATTTAGTCCCTGAGCATGGCTTTAAGGCCCTGTTATCCATAACAGGGCCAGAACAATAGGGAGAAATTTTTATTCCTCCTCTTCCCACTCCTCCTGTGGGGGAGGAGGAGGATAAAGACAGTGCACAGGCATGGCAGTGACCAGTACTTCTCCCACTTCTCCTTGGGATAGAYTGTGGTTGTCACCAGGGATATAAAGGACCTTAAAACGGACATTAGRGAGCCACAAAGGTACACAGGAGTGTAAGATTAGTCTGACAAAGGTAAAGSCTGACAAATATGTGGACCACATGAACTACTTAGTACATCCTGCTCTATACAGATTTAAGGACTGGTAACTACTAAAGCTTCCAAATGTCACAGTAACCACTGAGTCACCTTGATCTCAGACCAGCCCCAGCTATGTGCCCAGAGAACTCAACTCTGAGAACAAGCACTTGGGGCAGCCATATATTTTAGGTCTGGTACAAGAAATGCAGACTTTGCTGAGTAGGTAACCGGAAAATCAATGGCAACCTCTGCTAGTTGGCTCTAGATGCAAATAAAATRCTTCCTCTAAAGAAATTATAACTAAAGGCACCAAGTGGATGAAAAGCAAGGAAGTTTGACATCTCTGGGAATACAAGCWGGCTTCCTTCACTACTACAAAGCAAGTCATGCTGCAAGCTGCCAGTGGCTTTATCACCTCAGCCACTCACTATAAATTGCACCATGCTGACGGCACTAAGTTGTTCTGTTCCATGTATATTTAGAGGCAAGTGAAAATTAAGCAGAAATAAGCTAGTCCTGATGAAMCGATGTGATTACAGAGGGAATTTTAGAAAATGTGACAATACCAGAACRTTTTATCAGAGGTGGCCCATTAAAAGCTCTAAGGGAAAAGTTTTTTATTTGGGAATTAGAGACATATTTGGACCTCTGACAGTTTCAAACAAAACGTGCTTCAGGATTTTTTTTTTTAAATTCGTGTGTAAAGAAAAGGAAGAGAGAAAGAGAAGTGTTCTATTGGAAGAATTACCTTACTGTGACCACATGGTGCACAAGTTCCCATAGCTGGTTACATCCAGCTAGTGGACTGAACACTCCTCAAAATGAAGGAGCAATTCCACACCTTCTTTATAAATTACCCCAGCTAGAAACGACACAAGTCGCCATCCAAAACAGAAAACTCACACCATCTGATCCTGCTGAAAACAGARGCAATGTGGTAGGAGCATGAGCTTTGTATATCCA